CGTATCCCCGCCGGGATCATCATTCTCTGTCTCTCCTTCGCGGAGATGCAGATTACCTGGCTTATTGGACTGACAACAATCATCCTTGGAGTACTCTTCGTTTACGAGCTGGTGGTTATGGTCCCAATCCATAGAAGAGACAATCAGCGTGAGGTTGTAGACGACAACGGGATTGCCGTTCTTGCCGAGGTTCATGGGGAACGGCTAGACCCCGATGTTGAGAGAGAACAGAGACTTAGCACCGGCTCTAGACATGTTTAGAGCTGTTAATTGTATATATCCCTTAATTTCTGTATTACCGAACCTTCAGAAAGTTATGAATGCTATACTTTAACCAATTTTTCCTTAGACCTTCCAAGCATTTACTTAGGATGTATACCAAGACATGCCAATCGAGATTGGATCTGTACAAAATGGAGCTCCAAGTCTTTGCATACAGTATTAAATATTTGTTACACCACAATGGTCTCGAAATATGGAGCAGATTCAAGGAAAGACAGTGGGTTTATGGTAGACCTGGTAAAGACAAAATTAGCAGTTAAGGGTCTATTCACTTCACCAATAACAAAAGGACGTGGTTGTCATCTATGGAACTTTCCGAATCAATTTCTAAGAGCTGTAAGACCTCCCATGTCAGGTAAATATGATATAATATAGCCCCTAGGTGTGTTTCGTACCAGAACCAGCCTAGTACACCAGTACTATTGGACTCGTAGAACGGGATCTTCTGAGTCTAGACTCTATATACGGCATTTCCTTGACCTTACATGCGTTACGGGAGGTCTAGCAAGTTTCTACACATGCGTACGCAGACATAAAGTGGTCGATGCCATATTTGCTGATCATTCTTGTCCTAGCTCTGAAGTTGGCTACCGCTTGGAAATTTTTTCTAGGTATAGTCCTACGTTTAACAGTCAGGGTTGAACTTCCACGCGTTAAACCTACTTTGCCGCCTTTTCTTGGATGTGTATCCCGGATTTATAACTTTACTTTAGTCACTTCAATTGTAGTATATGATTCCGTCCCTACCGTAATGACTTTGTATGCCATTAGATTATTACGGACAGTCCAGGAGTTAAGTCTGTTGCACATGGTTGTGCTGCAATGCCGCAGTGCTAGCATATGCAGAGAACAATTATTGCTTTTTCGCATATGCGTGGACATTTCAAACTATTCATGCCCGCCCCAATCCGGCTTATCCTTGTTTAGACCACTTTCTTGGCTGAATTTAAGGGTTCACTTCTCACTCCTTTTTCCAGTTAATAGTTCATCTATCCCTCAACCGGTTTCTTTGTACACAT